CAGATCAATGACAGCACCAATGAGCAAATTCCTTCGTCCTCAGTGACTTACTAACCACACCTCCATCTTCTCCAACCAACCCCACTATTAATTACTGGTTAGGGTTTTGAACAAGCCTGGTGTTGTGCACCAGCCCTGAATTCATCCATCCCCTCTTCACAGCCATATTTTTTTATTGAGATGAGTTCTCCGCTTCTCTCAATCTCTTCTTAAGGGGTAATTCAGATTCAGTCTCTAGCATTTCTTCATTCCTCCACCTTTCTCAGAGTTGAGAGCGAGGCATCTCATCTTCCTCCTCCACTTACTTGACTCCTCCTTCGGATCAGAAGGTTTCAAGCCAGAATCCTGGACTTCATCACTGGGGCTCTTTGTTTTTCTTTTATTTCCTTATGAGGGTGTGGGGTGGGGTGGTGATGGCACTTGTCGCCCCACCTGGATGGTTATGTCTAGTTTCTAATGGTTGATGACTTATCTCACTTTCTTCTTCCTCCCCAGAATCTTCATCTGATCCATCTCTTCTGGCTCTACAAGGATTATTTTGGAGTTGAGAGAGAGGTATTTCATTCTCTTTTTCTTAATCACTCAGCTCCTCTCTGTTTTTGGGAGGTTCTGAGCCAAAACCCAGGATTTCTTTTACTTGACTGTTCTCTACTTCTTCACTAAATTTTACCATTTGTATGGATCTTGATAGAGTAGAGCCCTTCCTACCTCTTCCTATTTCTTTACCTTATGATTAGCCAACATAGTAGGTATCACTTCTGTTGTGTCCACCATGGACTCATACAAGGCCACTTTGCCTTCTTTGGGGCTATATTCCTCTACTGGGGTCGGAACACTACTTCTCCTACTCCTCCCTTGGCACCATCTTATACAGCTGTTCTTGGTGGTAATTATATGTCCTCGTTAACCACTACTGATGTCGACCTATCTAGGGCGCTTCCCAATAGCACCTCCAACACTGTGGGGGTTGAACTTCATATTTGTCCCACGTTGGTGCCAACCAATCTCCACCCAGGGTCATCTCCCCACAGAAATCTGGGACCACATAGAATTTGCGTACACTAGTTGTTCCTCCTACCGTCACCAGGAGCCTTACTATTCCTGTTATCTTCATTGGTTTCCCATCCACCCGATCAATTTCTATATCGGGTCTTCTAATCCACCATGCAGCTTCAGGCTTTTGAGCTGGTCCTCTCCTATTAAAGACACCAACACCCTCATGTTTATCAAGGCTCTCATTGACTTTCCTTTGACCACAGCCTCACAGGAAAGTTCCTCCTCTTGGGTCAGCAAGAAAAACACCCTGACTACCCTCCCTCTGGGCTTTCAGACATGGGTTCTGACAACAATGACTCTTCATCATCATTGCAGCACGAGGACCACAGCTGTCTTATTCTACACCAGGGTGCATCCAGGCAGCTCTCCCGAAGTTTACCCTGCCTATTTCTATAGGGGAAGTTGGCAGCAAGATGGCCAACTTGGCCACATGCCCAAAATTGCATCTTTCTCCTGTAGGGGCAATTTCTCTTCAGGTGTCCTTGCTTGTTACAGGACCAGCACCTTCTTTCAGGGCAGTTGACTGCAAAATGGCCGAACCAGTTACATACCCAGCATTGCATTACTCTTCCCTTTAACAGGGCTGTCCTCCCCCTTATTTCAGTCCTTTGATGTCCCCTGTTTTCTGGAAGCAGGTTCTTGTAATGGGGGAATCCAGTGGTTCTTTCTTTATCTCACACCAACTTGCCTTATGTCCATGATGACTGCACCTGGTACATCTGTCCCACTGATTTGGCAAGTCCAGCCCAAGACCGAAGTTGGAAGCACATGTGCTCGGCAGGAGCCATGGAATCTCTCAGCGACCTCTGCCACCACCCCTCCATCCTCCGTCATTCCATCCACCTGTCACCTCCACTGCCCTTGGTCCCGAAAAATTAAATTATTTCATAATTTTGGGGAATTCCCCCTCCCACATGTGAGACGGGCGCAGGTATCGCTCCACCTAGTTATCTCCACTTTCTCCTATTACCATCCCCCACCAGCGCTCCCCAGTGGGCACAGGAAGCTCCCTCAACCCCACTAATGTCCCGTCTGTGCCTGACACCCCCCAGTTGGTGCAGGCTGCCCCCCCCAACTCCCCAATCGCTCCCCTGCACCTGTCACCCCCAGCATGGTGACAACATACTCAGCTAAAGGCCAACACACCTGCAGGTGTTCAGCCCACTGTCCCTAATCCCGACATCTCCACAAAAAGACCCTATCTGCAACTGATATTCAACCCAATTTCCCCTATGCTGACCTCACAGGCACTGTCTGTCAAACACTGCCAACACCCAGCCTGTCACACAAACCAAGCATTGCTCCTAGCCGGCCACCTGGCTCAACCCACAAACCTCGACTCTCTGGGAATCAATTGTTATCAGTCTATCTTTCCCAACATTCATTTAACCCTTTCCATGGTAGTTTATTCATCAATATCTCACTTTTGTTGATATTGCAAGTCTTTAATACCACCTACCAGCAACCCAAATAGTGTTACAACTTTTACCTTATTGTTCTGAGATATATGTAGGTACATGAAGTACAGACCAGGAAGAATCTGGGACCAAAGTTTAAGGTCTAACCTGAAATGTTGGGTGTGTGTATGTAAGTCTCTTTCTCTTTCTCATATTATCTGATTTTTGAGGTCAGCAAGTATATCTACAATCATACAAACACATTCAAGTATGTTGGATTAACCCCTCCTAATTTTTGAAACCACTACTAGGGGACACTTTCTGGACTATAAATACTCGGTGATATTTTTTCTTGCCCTCTTCTTACCTTATCCGTTAATTTGTCAACATGTAACCTATTGCAGAGAACACATTCCTTTTGGGAAGCACATGAACAATACACACACACACACATGTATGCACATTCACTCACTACACATACTTTGGACCAAAAAGTTTTTCACATTCATTTGATACACATATCTTTGTCTTTGTCACTTGTATACCTTTGTTGTTAATACATTATCATTTGTTTGTACATATATATTGGTTCTTTACATTTTTTTACATGGACTCACATCCTGGGTCTGCCATGTTTGTTGTGGGTATTTCAGGAGACAGCATGTTATTCCCATTTTCAAACACCAACATTACTAATGCCTGCAACAAGTTGGGAACTGCATGCACTGGTCCACAACAAGTATTAACATAGAAAATGAAATAAATTTTAGTCAACAACATTTTTAGGAAATGCGACTTGCTAAATATATTGCATGCTTATTTCAGTTCAAAAAGTTTGTAAAATTAAATTGTGAATAAAATATTCTTTCATTCACCAAGTGTATTCAATAAATACATACTCATTTTTCATGAGAAACATTGAAATCTCACTTGAAATATAAATTCTAAACTCCCCGTCTTCATTGTTAACAGTATTTAATTAAAATTAAAGAATAAATTAGCATTTAAGATCTTGCCTTGTAGCTGAGGTAATTGCAATAAGTGCAGTGCTTGTTGTTTGACCAGGCAAAAAGTTAAAATTTGGAATGCTAAACCTTCTCTAATTTGGGGACTGATGCAATACAATCTTCCTTCTTGATTCTACTTGTTTACTGATGTATATGAAGCAAAGTTTAGTATATATAAATAAATTTACAATTAAAAAGATGGAATATTTCAGGTTTTATGTATATTGTGAAATAGAATTGTTTAAAATGACACTTCAATCTTAAATTTATTTTCACTTTTGATTTAGAAAACTCAAAATAATAATCAGGGAATGAAAAGTATCTTATGAAATTGTATTTTGGTTTAATTTACTGATAATATTTAGTATATAGATATGAGACATACCATTTTTATTATTTTTCCATACTTTCCTGATTTCAAGATATTTTTAGAGTTGTCTTTGAAATCAGATTTGTTTTCTTTTGTTTCATAATCCTGACATGTAGAATTCATAATTGACAAAATATTATAAACATTATTAACTGTAGTTAAATGCTTATAGGTTAAAATCAAATTCTTAAACTGATTATCCAAAGAAGAAATGTTACTTTAAATATTTTATAAAAAATCAGAAACTGATAATGTAATGAAACATAGATTATTCCTAACTGAGAAAAAATTATAAGTAAGCAACATATAAAAAGAGCAGTGATTGTTTTAGTTCTCAATTTTATTTTGGATTACAATGAACATGTTATTCAGAATAACTGTTACTGCATTTTCCAAAAATCTATACTATAAAAGAAAAGTTACTGTCTACTTGTGACTTTTATATACATGTATGTAATGTATATGTGAATGTGTGTTCTGAATGAGTAATTGTGCCATTTAATGTATAAATAAACACACACATACACACACAATTTGAAATAAGACCCTGGAATAATGACTCTCCTCCCACTCGGCCTGGACAAACAGTAAGCTGAGTAATAAAATCATAAAGTTGGAGACAAAAAAAATCAAACCCTAAAACAATCATTTGATAAGGATAAGATTTTATTGAACTTCTTGGAAATTATTTAAAAATATAATTATTTTTAAAGATTTTTAATTTTTTAGAAATATGAATTAAAATCTATATGCAAACATACAGATACAATCTGAATGAAACTGAAACTGATATTTGTGCTGCAAGGGCTAATTTCCCATTATGTCTGGCAATAACCACTGGATAACAGGAAAATAGTATAAACTGAAATTATACCATTTTAATGTCTCCTGTATTTAAACTGAATATATTTTCTAATAAATGTATTATTTTAAATGGACAAACAATTTAGATATGACATTTGACCAGCAAATCAATAGATAGCAAACTAGTTACTAATTAATAGTGAAGATTTTACAAAGAAATATACATTTAACTTCCTGATTTTATGATTTGCATTCTCAACTTGTCAAAGGTGAAAAACCAGAAACTATGCTAAACTTGTGCTATGCCTTAAATATCTTAGAGACAAGTAAAAAATAGTTTGAAAAGATGGTGGAGGTAATTCTTACCGTGCCAGGCCAAAATCTCCAACTTTAACAACATAATTCTGACCAACCAAACAGTTTCTTGCTGCCAAATCTCGATGGATACATTTTCTAGATTCTAAATATTTCATTCCTTTGCAAACATCAACACAAAACATTATCAATCTTTCTGTTTCATTTAAAATTCCAGGCACTTTGCTTTTTAAAAACTGCCATAATGACCCTGAAAAACAAAACTCATGCATATTAGATATATATATATATATATATACACACACACACACAAAAGATATCAGTTTCTAGATTAATGTTGAAAATTTGTTTAAATAAAAAAGAATAAGTATTTCTTTTGATTGGCAATTGCTTAATTAATATAAAGCTTATAAAAGATAGTGCATATGCTCATTAGATAAATAAGATGATACCTACCATGCTTCATGAATTCTGTGATGATTATAAGAGGTTGTTGTTTGGTGACCACACCATAGAGTTGTACCAGATTTGGATGACTCAGTTGACTGTAAAACAAATGTATCATTGATTAAAATGAGAAACATGCATAAATTTACAAATATTAAATTGAATGGGAAAAAAAATCTTGGGAAGCAAGTAGGCATTTTTCAGTGCAGTGATATTGATAGGTATTGCCAAAGATCCAATAAAAAAATGTGCATACATAATGAAAAAAATGTCCCAAACTTATTAAAGACAAAGTTTTGTCATCAAAATCTTTGTTTTATTAAGAGAAAAGACCAAAGGAGTTTTTGATGTAAAAATTATTTTTTTAATCCTTTGTAGAGTTTTCAATATTCTGGTTAAAAATTTTGTTTTTCTGGCATCAACAACATACTATAATTTAGCATAGGAAATTTGAGAGTCTTTTTGTGGCCAGAAACACATTGTTTTGGAAATTCTTGCAAAAATTAGATAATTATTGGATTTTAATAAAATGAATGAAATTATTTTTTAAATATTTCTTTTTTTAGAAAATCTTGGTAAAAGTTTGTTTTTAGATCTGTTACCCCCACCTAGTCTGTATTCTGTAATAGCTCTGAAAACCTTTGCCAAATAATCAATTGATACAGAGGTCAATCACTGGAAAGCAGCTTCAATTCAGTTGCATAATAGATCAGAAGTGCTTTTTCTCACATTAAAATTAGTTCATATTACATTCACAGAGGGAAGGATAAGTAAGGCTCTACCTTGATGGACTGCATGCCCCAGTTTCCAAGCCACCCTTTGCCAATGTAAAAAGTAAGTATTAAATTTAAAGAAAATGTTCATCCCTCATATTTTAAATCTTACAAGCTACTGATTTGCATTTTTCTTTGAGGAATTGCAAAATTACAAAAATGGTGGAACTATGCTGGCATGGGGCTTAGGGGTCAAAATGAACAGTTGATTTACACACGCCAAGAAGAATAATGAAGGATGATAAAGACAAGGAAATTTTAACAAAACAAGAGAAAGAATTTATTCATGAATTTATACACTTGAAGTAGTGTCAGTAGTTTCAGGAAAATAAATCAAAATTCTTAAACTACATAGTCATGAAAAGGAAATGTTCATAAAACAGATTAAATAATCTGATACAAAATGATATTCAAAAAGGTTTAAGACAAAGGTGAGTTTGTTGCCCATTCAAGGGATATATGGTTTGCATACATTCAAAAGTAGACAAAGAGAGATAGTTTAGTTTAGTTTAGCTTATTTGGATTGTTGATAGAAAATCCTTTGAAGTGCTGTATGCTAGTTAGAAGCCAATAAAATAATTCCTTCCTCTTCCTCAGTCCTCTGAATGTGAAGTGAGTGGGTGAAAGGAGTTATTATTATTTTGCACTCACTACATCACTTCCCTACCCAGATTTAATACATTAATAGTAATGGTATGTATTGTTTCTTTTCCAAGTAACCAATCTGCCAGACTTAGCTCTCATTATGATTTGCTGTCTTGTCTTCATAGTCCTGTCAATATCTGGTGAGATATCTCTTCATGCTGGTATTGCTTTATTAATATTAGGTATTTTCGCCATTTCTGAGACAACTGCTAGCTTCAATCTGTCTATGAAAACATTGCTATTCACATCTTCTGCAGTTGTAATAGTGAAATACTTATTATTAACTAATTATATGAATCTGTGTATGGTGCTTCCAGAGATTTCCAAAATCTGTCAGTCCTAAGCCATACAAATTTACAGTTTTTTAGGTCCTTTGGGCTATAGAGTTTTTGTGATGAATGTAAATGTCTGATGGACTGATTCTCCATGTAACAAATTTTTGCATTTCACTCACCAGGTCTCTTATTGTCAGGTTTGATGATTCACCATTACTCTTGTCACATAGGTCTATTAATAGTCTCAGAACTTGTGCATTGCACCCTGTTACTACTGTATATGGTGAGTAAGTTGATTCATTGGGTGTAATTCTGATACCTAAGAGCACAATCCTTGCAATTATTGCAGTTTTTAGCGTCCTGTGGGCACATTCAATCAATCTGTTTCTCTGAGGATGATACAAAGTCTATGAAAGCCTATGATCTTTGATAGCTCTGAAAGCAACTCCAACTTAAACTATCTCTATTGGTAATGATATGTAGGGGTACTCTGAGTCTGAATACCCATGTTTTAATGAAGTGTTCTTTGCAGTTATTTCAGTTAGAGGGGCTGCTTCTATCTATCTAGTAGCCCTGTCAAACATGGTTAATAAGATACCAATATGATGAAAAATAGGGATCTGTTAGGTTTTTACTGGTGGTAGTGGACCCACAATGTCCATATGCACTGTCTGAAAGTGATTAGAAGGTAGTTCAAAAGGTTGTACATCCCCCTCAGCATGTTTAGTAATTTTTGCTTGATGGCAATTTTAGCACTCTTTACATTTCTCTTTGACTGATTTGTCCATCCATGGTCATTAATACCTACATTTTAATAAGCATAAGGTAGCTGATATTCCTGGGTTTGATAATGCATGTTAGACTATCAAATACAGATTTCCTGAGCTTCTGCTATTCAAAGGTATCGGAAATGGTAATGACATGTCACACATTATAACTTGGTTTTAACTTGTGTAGTAAGGTTTTAAACAGTTTTTCAATTGTTGAAGTTCTTCATTGGAATACTTGTGATTGATAATTTCCTGTAAATCAGGAATATCTATTGTTACAGCAATAGCTGGCCTTAATAAACAGTCTGCAATGATATTTTTATGAGAAATGACTGTAATGTATTCTCTTATAAAGCTCAGTTGATGCTGTTGTCTGTCCGACTTCAATGGCAAATGTGACACTATTTAGCTATGGTAATTGATTAACTAATTAACCATAAAAAATAAACAAGAAAATATTGAGAATGGAAAAGAAGATAACCCAAGATTTTACTTCCCTTTAAAAAAAAAAGTTACTTTTCTCAAGAACCTGAGAATTTGCGTAAACAGTGGACTCACAAAAAGGCCATATGTGAGCTTTTGACAATTGATTTATGATAATTATAAAGAAAACACAAAATAGCCAAAAAGCATCTAAGATATCATTCAAAATCACAAGATTTTAGAAGTCGGCCAAGTGACAAAGCCATGTGTTAATTGTAAGAATTTTTGGCATGGGAAGATGTTCCGAGAAATATGTCGTTCAAATGGAAAGATTTTACTTTTACTTTTCTCAAGAACCTGAGGATTTGCGTCAACGGTGGGTTCGCAGAGGGGCAGGGTGGTGAGCTTTTGACAATTGATTTATGATAATTGTAAAGTAAACATGAAATAGCCAAAAAGCATCTAAGATATCATTTGAAATCACAAGATTTTAGAAATTGGCCAAGCCACCAGGCCATGTGCTGTTTGTAAGATGAAAAAGGGAATTTCAAAAACAAGTTGATAATTCTAAACTCAGAAATCCTGAATAAACAGGGATGTCAAAGAATTAATTAATGAAGCAAGCGTAGCCACGCCTGTATGACCGAGATGCCATTGGTTGAGTGGTAGCAATGGTGATAGGTGGAGGTACCTTGGTAAGAAAGATGGGGAAATTACTAATGCCCACCAAAAGGATTTGGTATGAGGTACCAATGTGAGAAGGAGGGAGTTTAGGAATTTAGCTATCCTGCAACCATGAAGATCATGGACGAAGGGATCCCTCAAAAATGGAAAGTAATTAATTTTCCAAAATGGGAAGTAATCAATTTTCCTAGCCGGGTAACAAAGAGGTTTCTTGTCAGAAATCTGGGAATACTGTTACACTCAATAATGACTTTTTGACAGCTTCCATGGTTAAGGTCAGTTGCTTTGCATTAGGTTTCAAATGGATACATTCTGCGAGTAGAAAAATGAAGTCACTAAACTTTGGTATTAATTTTTGTAAAAATTGACAATTCCAATAAATCGTCACAATGTTTTTAAATCATTGGAAGAAGGAAAATTGTTCAGCCACTGAAGCTTATTAGCGCTAGGTTCAATTCCTTCCTTCAAAATATCAAATCCCAAGAAGTCAAGTTCTGTAGAACTGAAAATACATTTTGAAATTGAAATTTTAAGATTGTATTCATTTAGCTTCTGAAATACTTGATCCAGATGTTTACAATGAGAATCCTCATCATTGAAGTATATTAGAATATCATCGATGTACACAAATGTACACTCAAAATCCTGAAAAATGTCATCCATCATACTTTAGAAGGTACTTGATCCATTCTGCAGCCCAAAAGGCATCTAGTTATATTCAAATAAACCCTGTTCTGTCAAGATAGCAGTTTTACATACATCATCAGGATCAATTGGTATCTGAACTAGTATTCTGAGGACAGATCAATTATTGAAAAATTTTTCCATGTAATTTCATCGATATTGAGTTGATAGTATATAATAGTTAGCAGTCCACCTTTGTAATACTATTTAGCTGTCTGTAGTTGCCCACTGGTTTGTATGTGCCATTCAATTTTCAATTTCAGCACCATATGGAGTGCTGGACATAATTTCCCCTTCTTACTTGGAAGGGGAAATTATGCCAGCTGTCAATACAGGAGGATTGTTCAATTCTGTGGAATACCTTTGATTTTTTTGCATTAGGGTCTTGATGGCAGGATATCAGATTAACGTAGCTTTCCATAATTTTTTTGTAAGGTTCCTGTTAAGGAGTTCACCCCTTTTTATACAAGTGGACTTGCTCTGTTAGTCCATAGTGACTTAGGAAGTCATATTCCAAAAGTGGTTTTATATTCATAGCATATAGGACTGTGTTTGTCAGGCATTCCTTTGGAATAATTGACACAGCAGCCTTTGTATCCACAATGAATGTAATTTTCTGAGTCCTTAATTGTGTGGTTACTTCCAAAAGTGGCAGGAAGGTGGAGGCCATCACCTCCTGGTTTTCCACTTTCTCATCACGTGCTGGTGAAGATGGTCATGAGAATGGTTCTAGTTTAATATTCCCTTTATTCAGTCACATACACTGTGGTTTACAAGCACAATCTGTATAGTAGATTTGTACCCTGCATATTTTGGGTTTCTTCTTAAGTTTAAAACTGACAATATTGTTTCATTATTCTTAAGTTTAAAAATTTTTTCAATTTCTCCAAATGCTTTTTTTGTAATACTCACCTTACTGCACTACAAATGACTATGAATTGGCAATAAAACTATGACATTGGGAAAATGAAGGACACTTATGAAATAAAAAAAAAAATCAAACAAAATTAAAACTTACGTCATTGTTTTTGCTTCTTCAATAAAACTGTCTTCAGACATTGAACCAGGCTTCATGAGTTTTATAGCCACAATGTTGTCTTTCCACCAAGCCTCATATACCGTCTAAAACAATATTATTATTATAAATAAAGATTAAAATCATGCACTTAACATATTCATTAACCTCCCAAAGTGAAAATTTATAAATAATGGATATAATATTATATTCTATCCATTATTTATAAATGTTAATATGTACATATCTATTGAGGAGACAGTTATGTATATATCTGTGGAGAAGACAGTTATGTATATATATATACATAACTGTTGTGGAGACAATAATGTATATATTTATTGAGGAGACAATGAAAGTTGGTTCAGAATGGAGATCATCCTTTTGGCTACAAAATGTAAAATATTAAAAATGAATGTCAAAAAATGTGAAAAAAATTTTAAAAGATAAGCTTATCTTTCTAAAGACATTTTAAAAGATAAGCTTATCTTTCTAAATACTTGTGTTAAACTTCTAATTAATCCATTCTAAATCAATGGAAATAAATTGATTAAACTTAATTGTTCAGATAACAAGGTATTTAATTAGAAATATCTTAGATAGCGATTTATAGAGATGTTGCTAAAATTTTGAATATACTAAAACTTAAAATTTTTATAAGCAAATTTAATTTTATATTCATTATTATATAAATTTTTCATACTTCATAATTTGTTGAAATATTTTTTTAAATACACTACACATATAATAGAATCTGTTCATTTCAACATTTCTTTTAAAATTAATAATATAACTAAAAGTAAGCCCAACATAATTTCAACACTACAAAGTGGGATATTTTTAATTTTAGATTTTATTATAGGTTTGGTTTTCTTGTATAATAAGTATTATATGTAGTATAAGTATTTTCATAATCCAACATCACATAAACTTCATGTCAGATACTATTAATAAAGGCAATGTTTTCACAATAAAGTTGATATTAACCAACGTATATTCAGAACATACTTATATGTATATGTGCTAAAAATCATGTGAGTTTCATCTTATAATATCTATCGTTATTAAAAATATTAACAACAACTTGTTTGGGTGTGTCAGGTTTTATTATATAAACAAACAAAATGCTGCATGAAAAAGATATAAACCATAGAGACATATATTTGATTAACAAAATATCCCGTATACCTGAAAAAATACCAGTTATAGTTGTAGACACAAGAACAGATTTAAAATTTCCTAAAAACATTGACTTTGGGGGAAGTTGAAGTATTGATTCTGTTTTATATGGGTACTAACATGTAAGCATACATATATTCATATTTTTGTATATGGTCATTTATGTGATTGTCTTGCCTACATCATTTATAGTTTTAAATTATTAATTAATATTATTTTTATATTAATATTATTCATATCCTTATTATTCTTATCCTTATCTATATATTATTTTTAATTTGTTCTTTATTTTTCTCTTGATTGATTTAATTAATTAATTATTTAATTTATTTTTTACATTACTTAAATTTTTGATTTTATTTAATTTACTTTATTCATGTTGAATATTATTATTATTATTATTATTATTAATAATAATAATTTGAAATTGTGATGATTATTATGTGATGAGTTTTGCTGTCTGAAATGACATGACTATTAAACATATTATTGTAACTCTTTTAATTCCGATCACCCCCCGCCCTTATCCAGTATATTAACTTGGTCAGCCCTTGAAGAAAAAAGGCGTTTCTAGATCAACCTATCAGCTCATCTTTAATTCTTCCTTCTTTCCTTTCTTTCCCTCCGTCTCTCTCTCTCTTTCTTTCTTCCTTAACATTTTTTTTTAATTTTATGTTGAAATTTTTATTTTCCGTCTTTTCCAAAAAATTTTTATAAAAATGAAAGAAAAAGGAAAAATTTTTATAATATTTATATTATAAAAATTTTTCCTTTTTCTTTCATTTTTACTCTCCTTTTTCCTTTTGTCTGGAAAAACTGATTTCATTTCTAAAAATCTTCAGTCTAAAGAGATGAATATTTAAATATATTTGTGAAATAAATTATAACCAAAATGGATTTTTAAGGATTTTCTTTAATTATTATATATATATATATATATATATATGAATAAAAGGAAAAAGACAACAGGTTAATTTATGCTTTGATTTATTCCCAATCTCACCTTTCCTAACAGAATCACTACTCTCCCAAGCCAACATACACAACAAATATATCAAGAAATCAAAAGAAAAAGTTAAATCTGCCAACAACAATACAAACAATATTTCTGTATATGAAAAATTCTCTTTAAACATAAAAAGTAAATGACATAATTTTTCAGTTGACCTAATGAATATATATGAGCATTTCTAAATTCTTCTAGTAACTAACAACATTTTGTTTTTGTTTATAGATACATTCACTTTGTTCTTTGCCTTGTCCACAGTGGATGAAACATGTTGGCTAAAACTAGATACAGTTTTCCTATTGTCTTTTTTCTTTTATTTATATTGTCTTTTTCTACAGATTAATTCTGGGAATTTTATATATATCAGACATGTGCCATCAGTAATTACTCAGAGTAGGCATCTTGTGACCTTTATGTAGTAAATCTACAAAAAATAAAATAGTTTGCATTTTATACATAATAATCAGAGTAACCTTCATAATTTCGTTAGATTAGGTGCATATTGTGCCACAGAAGGAAAATGTAGCTGCTGATCTATTTTATTCAGGGTAGGCACTGCTTACCATGCCTACCTAGATGGCATGTCTCTGTATATTTTCTCTCTTTAAAATATATGCTTTTCTCTCATTGGAACAACTATAATCTCTCCCTTATATATATCTATATATCTATCTATCTATCTATCTATCTATATATATATATATATATATATATATATATATATATATATTTTAATAATGGACCATAAATTTTCTATTTGATTAATATCTGGAGAGGCTGGATGAAGACATTCTGTTAATTTGATCTCTTCGAAAACTTTTTTTTAGCAATGCAGAATATAAAGGAGATTTTTTTTGTATTAAATATATAGAATATATATATATATAGAGAGAGAGAGAGAGAATATATATATATATATATATATATATATATATATATATATATATATAATGAACTCTACCATCAGTTCCAACATATGAGGATCTGATAACTTAATTGATTCAGTTATGAAATTTTGTGCGATAATCTTAAGTGGCACTTAAGTCCTGCTAGTGATTTACAAAGGAGGCCACATATGGAGTAAGAGTAAGGATTGTGGGATGAGATTACTGTTAGATTGGCTGACCTTTTAGATCTTGCTCTTGCTTCTTGAAGACGATTCAGACAAACTGACTGAAAACTGCTGAGTCCACTAAAACACATTGATTATCATTAACTATACTATTGTATTTATTAACAGTACAATGAAGAATGCTGAAGTTACATAATAAAATTGCACTAAATCAAATAAGTTATTATAAATATTTCTAATAAAAAAGATCTCATAATATGAAATTCATATGACATATTTATCATCTAAATATGGTTTCTTCTGAAAATACTAATATCAGTGGGTTAGTATTAATTTTTCTGGGAAAACATTGACTTGCAAAATAAAATCTGTAAGTGTGTATATTTGATTTTTTTATGATTATGTGTTTGCAGAAAAGCTAGACATAATATACAATGCCAACAGAAGAAATATACTTGTAAAAATGTGATAATATTGAAAGAGCCTCAGTATTAGTTATATTCATATGACAAGCACACATAGTTATAGAAATCTTATAATGATTATGATAGCAGTTTTTCATATATTTTCATATTTAGGAAAATGTAATTTTTCAATTAATAAATAAGTATGCCTACAAGTTCAAAACTTTCTTAAAACAGATGTGTTTTTATAAATAAATAAATTAGTTTCTGTTTTTACTTTTAAAAAACTGAATCATTGTCAATGTTATATCTTATGTACCAGATTGACAAGAAAAGTCAGTCAGTAGAATGAATTACAGTACAATTTACCCTGGCAAGTTTCTCATAGAAAAAAATATTAGTAACTTACACCAAAACACCCAGTGCCTAACTCCTTGCCTTTCACTAGTTCTGAAGGGTCAATCTCCCAATGATCTGAAATAAAATTAAAACATGAGCTTCACTACAAAAAGAAAATTGGATAAAAATATTTTTATATATTTTGATAGTTATATTTTATCAAGTATATAAGCATATAATTTATAAAACAAACATAAATGATATACAAAAGTTAATTAAAAACTAATACTGCAAGATCACTACAGTGAAGGTAATGCTACAATATACACTTACACTGGCTACAGGGTGATTAAGAGGGAAGGGTCATAAAAACAAGATAAATATGACAATATCCATTCAGTTTTTATATCAAAGATCTTTATTAGAAGACTATTAGATATATTTTGTTAATTCTCAAGAATCTTTATAAAATGAATGTACCTTCTTATTTCCTCAAAATAATAAATTTTTAAAATGGTCACTTGTTTCTTTGCATGTACCATATATTTAATGAAGATTTAATTTTTATTTTTATTTTTTAAATGAGGAATTGTAATTATTATACATTGATTTACTTGATATGATGTCCTTATCTTGGTTGATATAATCATAATAGTTTAACTGTTGTATCCACGGGTCTTCTTCAGGTGTTTGTGATAAATGGGAATTTTGAACAAAATCCTTTTCTCAATTTATTGTTTTTCTTCTGCAATTGATACCATGGGAGATAACATGTATCAGTTAATTTGTCCTTGTGATGCCTTCCATTGAACTAATTAAAGTATATGATTTCTTTGCACAACTCATAACTAGATCTGCTTAAGTAACACTTAATAATCAGTTAAATACTTTGATGATATAATCTTAGCAGTACCAGATGCTTTTGTTGTTTTAAATCCATCTTTTCATTATTTCATATTTTGATTTAGAAAACATTAAATGGCACAAATGGCTATCAAAACCCAATACAACTTTCAAATACCATCATGCCTACTGACTAGAATGCACTTTGTACCTATCATCCCATCATTGTAGTATTATATTAATATTTAACTGAGAATGATTATTTGTAAGTTGGTCAACAACTCTCTTCAAAATATCTACATCATAACCAAAATTTGTTCATTCTCTAAACAGTGTTCTAATTTATTGATAAATTATATAAAATGAGGATTATCATGTTGTAATTCATTCAACAGGGATGCAAATTTTAAAATAAATAAATCATTTTTTTCCTTTCTAAGTATTTTCAGTTCTGTTTCAATAATCAAAATCAACTTCAAGAATCAAATATGACAAGTAAAGGCAAAGAACTTTGAATACTGACCATGCCCAAAACCTGCTGTTGTTGGAGCAGTCTTTTGACCATGACGAGGAGGAAAACGCAATCTTGTTTCAAGACCTGATTAATAAAATGCACGAAGTGATTAAATAAAAAGAATCATATTTAATTAAAAACAAACAAAAAGACATTATATCAATCCCATTATAAGAAAAAATATCAAATTGTTCTATTAATATACATATATTTAAATTAAACATATAAATTTTTCTGCAGTGACTATATTCTAATTTACTTATTAACCTATATAAAATTTTGTAGCCTTATCTTTTTGAAATTGTAAAAAAACAAAAATCTAAAAATTAGGGCTGTTCCAAAATTAATGTCTCCTATTTTATTATGATGGCTATATGACAGCAGAGGTTGAACCTTCTTTCAAGTAACCCATAATTTTTTTACCTTAATACAGATGACTGACATTCTGACAAAATGTTGTCTGATATCAAAGTACATAAAAAGCATAGATGTATGGCTGAATTTTGTCATACAGAACAAGTTGTACTCATTGATCAGAGCATGCTGAACAGAAACCAAAAAGTGGATGTGAACACAATAAGGCAGTGAATAATATACTTCAGCAATGGCAAGTATGATGTGTGTGACAAGCTACGTTCTGAGCACAATCTTATTCATAGCTGGTGAAAATATATAATCCAATAGTAGTTACCATGTGGAAAAATAGATTTTTGTAGCTGCAAACTTGCTCTATCCAATAGTATTAGTGTGCTCTATCTGTGCAACTAAATAGAATGCATCACTTTCAGAGCATCTCTTGTATTTTAATAAAAGGGGAAAATATAAAACATCAAATTTTGATACTTTTATAATAAAACTTTAAAAACTAAAAAGCTTTCAGATATTTTTGAATAAAAAATATTCTCATTATTTTTTCACTTATTTACTACAACTTTATTTCAGTTCAAAAATGAAAGAAATTTTTACCATGTATCATAAACTATGTTCCTTATTTTATCTTTTATGATATTTTGAAAAAAAAAGATATAATAAATACTTCTTGTTAAAATAACAATTATATTCAAGGAAATATTAAAATTGACCTTGAAATCACTGCTGTATTGTATCATATCTGTTAAATCATTTTTTTTATATTTAATGCAATTACAAATGATTTTTTCTTGACTCTTACTATAGAATTTATATAAAATAAATTATGAGTAGAATTTATAAAATAAATTTTATTTATAACTAAAAACAAAACTGACTCATATAGCTTTTAAAATATAAATATCAAAAGACTGAAATAAACCTTACTGTAAAAATTACATATAAACAATAGCTATTAACAGATCAGTTTTTTCTTTTGCTATCAGGATTCTAATTTATTTTTTATTCTTATGTTACTTTGGGTTGCAAAATAAAATCATTGTCTTTTGAAGTCAAACTGACTAAATGACTAAATCTAATAAGAAAACAAGAAGTCCTGTTGAGAAATTCAAGAACATATTCAAAAGAATAAAATACAAATGTATTTTAAACTATACAAACTTGTGTATCATATGATTTGTATAAGAATAAAAATAATGCCATTCATATTAAAAATACACATTTATTACAATTAATTATTTTTATTGACTTATGCTTAGAATATAATGGGTGATTGAAAAGTAACTCCCCATTTTGAAATACTTTGAAAATTTTTAGGTTAGGGAGAACAAAAGACACTCTCTGTGTTACTGGCCCAAAGAACATGCTGATATTTTTTTTAATGAACTGTGATTGGACGGTTCAAAATGAACCGCCCCCCCCCTTTGAAGGGGAAGGGAAAACTGGGACTGGACCTTAGCAGCAGTTGGAAACGAGACAGCTTAGAAAGAAGAGGTTCGTTTTCTCTCTCCCTGCTGAAAAGGCAGGCAGCATTTGCCTATAAGTGAAGGATGCATGGGTAACAAGTTGCTGAAGGCAAGTTTCCCCTTCAGAGAAAGTTTTGAAAAGTCCTCTCGAAGAAGCCCCAGAAAAGAAAGTTTGAAAAGATGTCCATAAGTGGAGTTTGGAGCCAAAGCCATTTGAGAAGACGAAGGAGCGAACACGTGTGTTTTCAAAAAGTATTTTACCACATGTTTAAGTAAATTTCCACCTTCTAGCAGCTGTAAAAGAAAGGTGTAATATCCAGACGGACAGGAGGAAAATAAGTGAAGAAAGAAGTGAGTTTGGTCACCAAGAAGAGAACTTTGTCTACACAAGAGAGTAAAGAAAAAAGATAAAAAACTTTTGAACCTTGAAAGGACTGAAAGTGTACTGAAGAGCTTAGGCTCTTCCCCCTTTTTTTATTGTTATCATTGACACAGCAGATGGGCGCTATTCTTTCTTTTTGTACCTTGTAATTTTTAAGTTTGTTTTCTGCTATGTTTTTTTACATTGTGTTACTCAGAGAATAGGTTATCTTATTCTCAGCAAAAAAGGACAAATTTTTGCAAGAACCCTTAATTAGCTGGTTAGAAATAAATATTTTTTCTTTGTAATTGAATCTGATTTGCATTTTTTTATCTTTCTTTTTCATTATTAATTTGGGCAATAGTGAAAATACTGCTGCAGCAGTTTTTATTTTCTTTCAGAAAATAAAATTCTGAAAATACTTCTAATTTATTTATTAACTATAATTTTTAAAAGGAATGGATATAAGCATGAGGTTTTATTTAAAATTTGATATGGGCACTAGCTTCTCAAATTGCCCAAGAATCGTGTCAATTGATTTCACCAGGAACTGAAAGACATAACTTCTTGCATTCACTCTTCAAATTCTTCCAAAGTCTTTTATTTGGTATAGTAGACTTTCTCCTTTAACAACATTTTTTAAGAAAAAAGTCACAGGACACCTGGCTGGCCACTCATACATAAAAAGTCACAGGACACCTGGCTGGCCACTCATACATAAAAAGTCACAGGACACCTGGCTGGCCACTCATACATAAAAAGTCACAGGACACCTGGCTGGCCACTCATACATAAAAAATGGAGTTACTTTTCAATTACACTGTATAATCACAATTTTTGTTTATAACCTTTAAACATTAAGTTTTACTCTTTCCAATAAACTGTGCTTTTTCTAGAAAGTTAAAGAAGTAGAGAAAACTTATTGTTTTGATTAAACAATTTTATAATGAAATGATACCTTCACATAAAACAGAGTTTTATGTGAAGGTTTCATTGCATTATAAAATTGTTTCTTTGTACATAAACTAACACAATACAGTTGTTTATAAAAACAATAGTGAATAAAAAATATTTTTATATATATTTTTATAGTTATATTTTTACATCTGTCATCAAATGAATACTGCCAAACATAGTCAGGCATAATTGGGTAATAAATTGTGTATCTCATATTAAAAAACATAACCTATTGAAGAAACTAACCTGCTGCATTATGTTTGTGATAATTAATGAGTTCTGGAACAGTGCTGAAGTAACATCTTTCTGCTAAATAGAACTTTCCATCTATTTGTTTTATAAGGTAGTGCCTTGGCTTGCTGAAATAAAGAAAGAAGTAAGTTTTTAAGAAAAATATCTCAATTTAAGCAACTATTTGCTATTTAATGCTTCTTTTAAAAAAAAATTGACTAGAGTAAAATGCAGAAAATACAATTATACCTACCCATTGGCATATAAAGATACGGTATAGAAGATTTTATTCGTTGTTGAATCTCGCACCATAAAACAACCATCTCGTCCATCATTTAATAAATATTCTTCACATTTTTGTCGGGTTATATCTTTATAATACCAGCTGTAAAAAATGTTAAAATATATTTTACAAGTGAACAACATCAACTTTCAGAAGTGAAAAGTTCTATTAAATAAAAACATAAAAGCCTATAGGATTTTGCACACATATTTGGATCTAGCAAGTTAATGGAACATGGTATTATAAAAAATAATATATCCTTGAAAATTTAAAATCTTTTGGCAAAGCCCATATATATAAATCTTATATGCTGAAATTTAAAAAATATTTTATGATGTTTGTCCTTATATAATTCAATATAGTTGACTTAGAAGTCAATTCATAACATTAAAAAAATAGGGATTTAAATAATTTCTCAAAAATCAGCAAAAATAAATTGCCTCTATATGAAAACCAATTGCTTCATTTTGTAACAATAAAGCAATAAAATTTAATTACATTATCATTCATTCTATTCTCAAATGATACCAACAGATTAAAAGAAGAATGTATACCACTTTATTTATTCTCATGTAATTCCAAAATTGAGATTATTATTGTAGCTCATAAAAGAATGAATTTATTCCAGATAATATTTTAGAAGAAAGATTTTCACAATCCTACTTATTCAATGCATTCCTATCTTTGTATAAATCTCATGTTTTGCAAGCCCACTAACAGAAAAAGCAAAAAGAATAAGAAGTAAATGATGTCTTTTATAGACACTTATTTCTATTTTATTTAAAATATCACTTATGCCTCATCACTCATCATATATCACATATGATATATGATGAGTTTTGGTTGTTCATGGAAAAGGAACATGAATTATTGGAGTTCAAGTGGATCATATTAATGGAGATCATTTCTGAAATTGTATGAACATTTGACAGCACTTATGAATTTAATTGTTTGTTTCTTCATTTCGGCTTTTCAAGTTTATTTATAATCATTTCATTTTTAGAAAACTGTATTCCTTAGCGTCATTTTAGAATGTATTTTTGTATAATCTGATTACTATCCAAGCTATTCTCTCTTATATACTGTAAAAACATTGTGTATTGTTAGCAATGTGACCATTAACTAAAATGTACACATTGGTAAACTTGTTATTTTCTTTTAAATTATTATAAAATAGATAATTACCTATGTTCAACTGTAAGAGATTCTCTTTTTTCCATACTATGTATCAAGTGATGTTATTTAATTCCAACATTAATTGGTCCCATTTTCAGTCTTCAACTAGGCTTTGAACATTACATTTATAGATCATCATGTTCTTGATTTTGTTTAATACCAAAGTGTTTGTTTTACAAGGGACAATGTATCACTGTGGTGACCATGATTGAAATCAGTGGGAACTAATCCATCATGTTGAATATGATGTGATCACTTCCCATAAGCTCACCAGAAATGAATCAAGTTAATTAACCACTAGCTTCCTAAAGCCAAAATAATTTGATATCCTTATATATCCTGATGTTCTAGTTAGACCATTATCTAACAAAGGTCCAGCAGTGCTTACAGGCAATGTTATTATCTAACAAAGGTTCTTTAATGGAGACACAAGGAGACATTGTACCATCATATATAATTGTTTAAGTGAAAAGTCAATAAGTGATAAAATAGGTTGAAAAAACATGAACCATAATATTTATTCATGCAGCAAACATAAATAAAAAATTATAATAAAAATTATTTATTATGATAAAAATTACTTACTCGTATATTTCTAAATCACATAATTTTCTCACATAAGTTGATGGAATGTATCCAGTATGGCTAATGTAAAAAAGGAAATAATAAGAAAGTCATAAAAAAAAGGAAATTTACTGAAATTAATGAGATTTTTCATTTTTATACATTTTGTTAACATAGTATTCAATATTCAAATAAAGACATGAACAGAAAGGTTTCTTTTTCCAGTCTTCTTTTTAAAATGAACACAATCTTGATAGCAGATACAAAAAGGAAACTACAAGAGCACCTACAGAATGTAGTAAAGGAAAGTGATAAGAAAGAACTAAACATCAATTGTAAAAAGAGAGAATGTATGGTTGTCATAAAGAGGAACACTCCAAAATACGAACTACAAATTGGAAATATTGAAATCAAGCAAGTGCAAAAATGTAAATGTCTGAGATGTGTTATAACAGAGGACAGAAAATGTGACACTGAAATCCTAAGGCACATTGGGATAGTGAAATATGCCTTCAAAAAGCTAAGCAAACATTGACTATTCTCAATATCTTGATTTGGTCACCAACAACTTCCACTGGTCTACCTGATCATGAAACATTATTCAGTGAAAAATATCCAGCATGACACTTTGCAAACCATTTTTGATATGTGTAATCATTCACAGTACTTTATCCATAAACTGCAAAACTTTTTTACACTTGAGTCACATTTTTACTCTCTTTAAAATAAAAATGTTGACAATTTATTTTCTTCCATCTTCTAAGCTTGAATCAATAAACAAAAATATACCAATTTTGATAAAAGATTTTTTAAAAAATACACATTGATATGACATCAGTCAAAATCAAAATCAAAGTTGATTTTTTGAATAAAGATAGTTCAGACTAAATGCTCATAATTTTGTCTAACAACAAAACAGAAACTAACGTATATGTACACATACATATTAAAAACAACAAAGATCAAGATAATAATAAAAAATGTATAGAATCTGTTTAATTTATTTGAATGCTAGCATTGTTTACATCTAGATGCCATTAATAGTCAATTTATACTTGTTACAGCAGTGCTATGAATCAATAAAAATAAAACTTACCCATTTTTATTTTTTGCAACCCACCAATGTTCAAGGGAGTTATCTAGAACTTCATATCGCTCGCCCTATATAATATATACAATCATACTCGAATATATAAAATGCAATATGACAACATATGATATTTGAAAATTATCATATGGCATGGTAAAGAGAAGATTAATTTTATAAATTCTACTACTCCATTGCAGTGGCAATACAAAGATATTTTTTAAGTGGAATAATAATAGTAATGATTATAAAAAAATCATTGGTCCAATACTAAAAGGCCACTTAGAGATAAAAGAAACTTTTGACTGATAAAAAAAGGTAAAAAATATGTATTTGTGAAGTTAAGTGGCTGGAATTTTAGGCTGTTGTTTTTGCCCCATATATGTAGAATAAGTGGCATTGTGTTTTTCCACCAAGAGTATTCACCACTATAACTCTTTGGTTTAATCATTTCCCTGTTGTGTTTTTGCAATTCCTTACATAGTCTTGGAATATCTGATGTACCAGTAGATATTGAAGTTTAGTTGACACTCTCTGCTGAAACTGTGACTGCATCTGCATCTCTTATTATCTTCATTGCACAATCTACTTTAATGACTCTGTGTTAGGAATAGTTTCTGCAGGTCTGACAATATCATTTCTAGGTACTGTGTGTCAGTGTTGTTGGATTTGCAGGTTGTATGCAATGTGCAGACTATCTGGTTGTATGTGACAAATATCTTGTTCACTATGTCAGTTGTTTTATGAAAAGACATGTTGTCTGTCATGGGTGTTAGGATTTGTATCATAGTTGTCAGTAGTTTGTCTGTTCAAAGATGTCATAGGATAGACTCAGACATTGTCTGCTGACCAAAATAGCCTTTCATAAATCATAGTATATAATGGGGTCCTGTCATCAATGTCTATATGGCGGAATATCTCTTGGAGTAGTTCTTTGTCTGAGTATCTAGTCCTCTTAATAATTTCATTCTTTAACATTGTGCAGGGCTCATTTTTGGAGACATTTTCTAGGATATTTGCTACTTTGTTGACAATGCCTGGCTATAATGCTTGATTACTACATTTGCAAACTTAGTTCTCTGGGAGTTGATTCTTTTGACTGTAAAAATAGCTTCCAGTTGTAAGAACGTTTTTGGTGGTGGATCTGTTGTAATGAGGTAACTAGAGCAGTGATGACATGGCGGTTGATTTATAGCCATAATGAGCATCATTTAGAGGTTAACATTGACAAAATTTCACTTTATGTTTTCTGGGATATAAAGTGGGATAACAATTCGAATGTTGAGGTTACTGTTCATTGATAAGTTGCTGTGTTACTTAAGTCATAGTTACCATTGCATTACTCATGTTCAGATATGTAAAAGAGTTCTTATTTCCTGTAATTTACAAAGTTTGATCATTTGCCATTCTGGAGTATCATATCATTTGTGGGAGACTGAGTCTTCATTCAAGGTATAACACAAGATAGATAGACATGTAGAGAAAATCAATACACATATGTAATCAAGTGAGATAGACTCCTGGTAGATATATTCTATGAAATATTGCATTGTAGTAGTTGAAATTTAGTGTCTGCTACTGTTGGTTTTGTCACTGACCAAAGGTGTTGCTGTTTATGGTAGCACTTGGTATCACTGCTGATGGCCTGGCGTGTAAGTCTGCTGCACTCAGTTAAACTTGCTTGCCATGCAGGTCCTTCATTAATGCCAGCCAGATCAAATTTACCCCTTGGATGAAATTGATGCTGGTTTTATAGTAAGTGAATGGCTCAGAAACGGCTGCTATAAAAATTGTGTGGGCCTTTTCCTGTTTGATCAGAAAAGATCTTTTATGACCCTGGTGTTTTGGGGTGGTATTCCGAAAGTATGTGTGTAGAGCTAGGCAAAATTAATTTCTGTTGAATTGAGTTAAAGGATTGGAGTTCCGACAGGGTGCAACAAACATATTTTAGAGAACATATTTTTAACTAATTCTTCAATGGCTTCAACTTGAGGACAAAATTATAATGTAAACAATTTTTAAAAAAATAACTGCTTTAAAAAAACAAGTGAACCAAAGTCAGTAAAATAACAGGTTTTTCAAACTGGGAAAATTAACAGAAATTCATAGAGTCAAATTCTATTAATTTTATCCCTTAAAAATAGCATTTACTATGCATTTAATTTAATTTTTTTATAAATAACCAAATATTGTATCAAATTAATTTTTTAAAATCCTGTAAAATAAATACTATGCAAAAACAGAAATATGTAGTTTTGGTGAAAATTGCATTAAGAGCAGTAAAACCTTTATGTTATACAGGCTGTAATGTACAAAGGGATGCTGAAAAGTTCTTTGTCTCATCTACTTGACCAAATGACAAAGGATCAGAAAATTTTGTTGGGCTTCTTGTTTGGGCCAAGAATATTTAAGCACTCCACTTGTATGCTAAATTTGATAATAATTTTAAAAATAGAAACTGAAAATATAACCTCACCTTAA